GTGTGTGTGTGTGTGTGTGTCTTGGGTGTTTCCTGCTTGTGTTGAAGTATGTTTGACTTAGGTCTCAGTTTTGGGAAACCATTCCTGATATTTTAAAGACTAAGGGACAAGTGGGAGGTAACCTAAATAAACAGTAGTTTAAGAAGTGTGTCTGTAAATCACGAAGTCCTTTCCTGCAGCGAAAACCAAGGTTTGTTTAAATTAAGTGTGCTGCTCAGTTCTGGTTTTGATTGCTGGCTCAGTGTCACAACTTGGTTCGGACTGTGGTCTGATCAGTTGTGCATTAATGCATAGATCAATTGGAGTGAAACAGATTATGGTTAAACATTTCAAAAGGTGAAATTTAAGTGTTTGATTTTAGAAGGTGATGACAACAAGTGGTTTTGTTTGTTTTTCTTTGCAGGTTGTCTTGGAGTGGAGTAGAGACCAGTACCATGTTATGTTTGATTCCTACAGAGACAACGTCGCTGGCAAATCATTTCAGAATCGGTGAGCTTTATCTGCTCTTGCCAGTGCTGCACATTGCACTGTTCAATGAATTATCAGATATTTAAATCAGGTATTTTAGATGAAGTAACAAAGTGTTGAGTGGGACCTTATTGTATGGGCTCTAAATCTGCAGCAAACTTTAACCTTCATGGTTTAACGTTAGTGCATAGTTAGTGCATGATCTCCCAGCTTGGAAGATGTTTCGCATTTGGAAGCTCTAGTCATATACATGATCTCCCAGCTTGGAAGATGTTTCACGTTTGGAAGCTCTAGTCATATCACAGAGTGTACATTTTAAATGTGTTTAATTCATCCAGTCTCCAATGAAACATCAAAGTGGTGACAATGTTAACCATAAAAGGAGGACATGACAAATTTTCCATATTAAGATAGGAAAATGTTATGTGATGTTCCTATGTGCTTAAAATTCCAGCTTTCAGTGCTTTGAAAAGTTATTTTTCATCTACCTTATGTTTTCTGGGATGTCTCGAGGACCATGATTTAGCAGAGGTGTCACAAAGCTATGAAAGAGCTTTTAAAAGCTGAGTGCATGGGAGAAGTCTCTCACAGCAATTGGAAAACCAAGTCATATGGGTCATTTGTTCCAGTTATGTTCTGTGCTGCATGACTTCTGTGGTTTCGTCCTTTGTGCCTGGATAGCTGTGGGGTCTGTTGTTCAGGAAGTCAGTGGACTGTGAGTTGGTAGGTGGAAGAAAGCTGCTAAAGAGATATCATCTGACTCTTAACATTGATACACTTGACTGGGGAAAAAAAAAACAACCCTGAAAGCAGCTGCTTTTAATCTGCCTTGAGGTTTGTTGAATCATAGGACAGTAGAGATGAGCAGATCAATTTGTCACGCTTCAGCTGGTGCAAGATTGCTCTGGAAAAGCACATTGCATGGTGTCAGTAAATACTGTGCACTTCAGCAGTCTCAGTTCTTACCCCCTGCCCCATTTCCCAAAGGATGACAGATGAAAGCAGAGTGATACAGCTCATGTGAGTGATTTGCAATACTGAAGTGAAAACACGGTAGGTTCTTTCTGTCAGTACTACAATACCTGACTTTGTGATAATTACCTGCAGTATTTTTATATAGTGCTTGACTTTGTCTGCAACAATCACAAAATCTTACTGTCGTGGGGTAGGCATAGTCAGTTCCTCTTTCAGCAGTGTGTTTTCTTCATTTGGTTATGTAAAGCACTCCTTGGCTGGTGTTCATCTCCGTGGATCGGGAGCAAAACATCCAGTGCCTGGGGAGGAACTCTTGGCTGCCTGAGCAAAAGCTTAAGGTTTTCCTTAAGTTATTTCAGTTCACCCATATGCCTTTAATATTCTTCTGTCAGGCGTGACAGGGAAGTTTGCTGTGATATTTATGTGCAGATACCAACTTCCTGCAAAAGTTCATACCAGCAGAAAAGGCTTTGTGGAGACATACTTTCAGGCATCCCTTTTCAGGGGTTCAACTTATATTTGTTATCACACTTGACAAATGCAGCAACAGACCCTGCCCTGCAGTAGGCTCTAGTGTCAGAGGGGATTTGGTGGAGTTGTTAAGACTGGTATCAATGCAGTGTGTAGGGCTGAACATAAACTGAGGACTGTACTCCAGTTTTGAGTCTAGCTTATCCATTGGTTTTACTTAGTTGTTGTTTTAGTGTTAGAGGAAAAATGGTCAGAATTGGAGAACAGGAAGCTCTTTGGTTAGGAAATGAAGCAGATCCATTGCTTTGTGGACAGTAAAAGCTGCAAGGTCTTTTGGGAAATACTAATAGACCTTCAACTGAATTTAAGGAGTGTTATTTTTTTCTAGGAGCTTTGCAGGTAAACACCTCTGTTCTTGTGTGACAGTTGTGTTTGAAACTTTTATAGAGAAAACTGACCTGTAAAATGTAGACAAATTTGTGTATTTGGGCAAGCTCCCAAAATCAAGCTCAAAAAATCATCACATAAACCCAGTGATGTTGCTAGCACTGTTAGTTACACCTATTGAACTCTGTTCTCTGCCAGACCAAGGAATACTTCTTGGTTTGCCTTGAGGTTTAGCAACTGGTTTGGTTTGCTTTTCACACCTGTTGCATACCCTTGGCATCTTTACAGGAAGTCACATCAACTGCTGAACTTGCTACTCACATTGCCCAGGCTCTTACACAGCTTGAGAAAAGTGGAGTAGAAATTATAGGGCTTTTTATCAAGTCACCTCATCCAAACCCAATTTTGAAGACTTAGTTCTGATATGAAAATGAAAAGGGAGAGAAGGAAATTGGATAATGGAGTTGCTTGCATGAGTGTCTTGTACTAGAACTGTATTTTATTACTCCACCTGCAAAACCTGCATTTTAGCCAATGCTGAGGTGGAACTTTGCTGTTCCAGGACATCTTTAAAACTCCAGAGTATGTATGGAAAGAAAATGTGAATGATCAGTCCTCAGACTTTGCAGTATAGTACAACAAGTGAGAGCTGTCAGTGGCTGGCAAGCAATTAATTGTTGAACTGAGTAAGGCAGGAGAGAGGAAAAGATACAAAAATTAGGGAGCAGGAATAGCAATGTAACAGCTGAGTTGCTATTGGTGGGTAAGTACAGCCCTGTACCAGGCAGGAGGTTTACAGCAAGGAGCTTAAACTTGTTCATAAAGAGGTTCAGCAAGGTTGGAGATCACCATATGGTAGCGTGGGACACGTCCAGAGGCTGTTGTGCTCCTTCAGCAGCACTGGATGCTGAGACAAGGAGGTTTGTCTTCAGCTGCAATCTCAGCTCTGAGCATGGCAGGTTATAGGTTCATGTCAGTGACATTCAGAGCATAAAGTTGGAATTTCCTTGAGTTAGTGAACTGTTATAGCCACTTTGTGTCTCTTTTGGTTTATGTCTGTGCTCTCTTGTCACAGGCTTGTGTACAATTAAGCCATGATATATATATAGCTGAAGAGATGCTTTTCGCTTGGTGCTGTTTGCAGCGCAGACACCAAGTATTTCTGTTGTTAGACAGAACTGCTATTGCAAGATGCCATGAAGACTTGTAATGTAATATTAAACAGCTCATGTGGCTTTCCTTTGAATATGTAGGCTGTGTTTGCCCATGCCAATCGACGTGGTGTACACCTGGGTGAACGGCACAGATGTTGAGCTGATCAAAGAGTTGCAACAGGTCAGGGAACAGATGGAGGAAGAACAGAAAATAATGAGGTAATAATCTTATGTATTTTTCCCTTGTAACCAACAGCAGCAATCTAAAGCAGGACTAGTTATCTCTTTGTTATTTTTGCCATGTTACTCAGCATGAAATTCAAAGTACATTTTCTCACTTCCTCATTTGATTGTTCCCAAAACCTTGTTTCAGTTCTGCTTTTAGCTGTGGAGTAGTGTCTAGTCAGAAAACTGTTTAAGAAACAAAGCATGATAATTAAGGCTGTTCTGTCATGAATTTGTGGAATGCTGTATGGGAAGCTGTGCATTGTGTGTGTTGTTTTGTATTGATTTCTGCAGCTCAGTTTTTAAATAGCAATAATAAACTATATCTCAAACATATAACTTCTCTTCATCCCATTTTTCTCCCTCCGTCCCTCTGCCCCAGTATTTCTTTTCATAATGGGCTTAATAACATCTTAAGCATGTGTTTCTTAAGGTCTTCTTTTTAAAGTTAGATTTGTAGTCTCACAAACACTGAAACTGAGAAATGGGAAAATAATGTATTCATGTCACAAAGGTATCAGTTGGCCTTTAACTCAGGAGGCAAAGCCAAGTGTTATGGCATTAATTGTTGCAGACTCTTCTGCAAAACTCCTGGTCTCAGACTTCCAGCACAGGCTGCTGCAGATACCTTGGGTCATGTCCTGTGAGCATTGATTCAGTTCTTAATGAGCAGTTCTATTCACACAGAATCATAGAATCAACTGGGTTGGAAAAGACCTCCAAGATCGTCGAGTCCAACCCTACATGCTTACTAGACCATGGCACTAATCGCCACATCCAGTCTTACCTCTGTTTTGGCCAATAAATATGCTAAATGGACCACTCTGTGTTTTAAGGGTTGTAATAATTGAATTCAGAAGGATCAGCAAGGAAGTGGATTGATCTGATTTTTGGCATGTTATGCCTTGCACTTTAGGTCCCACTGACAATATCATCTCAAGGGAAGCTCTGGATCTTTGCTTTGCTACCTAAACAATGAAAGTATTAGTAGAACTTTCAATCCATTGACTTTAAACAACTTACACATAGACATGGTATCTGCTCTGAAAAGCTTTCAAATTTATGCTAATATTTTCTTAACAGTTCATATTGCTGATACTAGTGGGTTTAGCTCTGTCATCACTCATGCTGTGATTCCCGTCCTGGAAAGGGAAAAACAAACATTGTTTTCTTCCATAACACTGGGGTGGAAAGTTGGTATGAAGCTTATGAGTAAGAATCATATCCATGCCACATTATTTTATCTACAGGGGCACCTGGTTCTTTCCCTTGTCGATTATTTTTTTTCATGTAGTCTGAAACCGGTGAGCAAAAAGAGCTCTTTCATAGTACGGAGGTAACTGCAGAAGACAAAGGCAAGGGTATTCTAAGTCTCTCCAAATCAGTGTATATTTTGTATTGAATGATAACATGTACTAAGTTGTAACTTTCTTGTTGATATGCCTGATTTGAGCTAGTCATGTTCTGAGTACTTTATTCTTCAGTGGGAAAGAGCAGCTGGTGCATGGTTGTTCTCTGTTTGTTGGTGTGAGTAGAAGGGTGAGAGCTCTTCTGATATTATTATGGCAAATGCATGATAGACCATATCGGAATATGTTTGTGAGGCAAAACAATCCAATCAACCTGTCACAGAATTATCAGAGTTGGAAGGGACCCTTGAGGATCAGCTAGTCCAACTCCTGCCCCTGCCCAAGACACCCCAACAATCCACCCTGTGCCTGAGAGTATTGTCCAAACACTCCTTGAGCTCTGTCAGGCTTGGGGCTGTGACCATTGGCCTGTGGAGCTGTTCCAGTGCCTTAACACCTCTGGGGTAGAACCATTTTCTAATCTCCAGCCTAACCTTCCCCTGACACAACTTCAGGCCATTCCCTCAGGTTCTGTCCCTGGTTGCCAGAGAGCAGAGGTCAGTGCTGCCCCTCTACTTCTTCCATGAGGAAGTTGTATCCAGCGATGAGGTCTGTCCTTATTCTGCTCTTCTCCAGGCTGAACAGACCAAGTGCCTCAGCCACTCTTCATGTGGCTTGCCCTCAAGGCCCTTCACCGTCTTCGTTGCCTCCTTTGGATGCTCTCCAACCTAGTTTCAGGTCACTTCGTCCTGGTTGCTTACCAGTGTTTTTCACACCAACATCAGTTAAGTAATCTAACAATAACCCCATAAATCCTGTTAGCAAGAGGAGTCCTGCTGCCACAACTGCCATGAGGTTTTGAGCTCCCCTGCATGAGGGTGAGCAGGGAAGGGCACTTGTGTCAGCCTATGGTTACCTTGCCAAGGCCAGTGGCAAGGTTTTGGCAGCTTTATAACCAGGTTATTGGTGCTTTAACAATGTGTCTCTGACTCAATTAACAGCCTCAGATTAGACTCAGTTCCTTACTGTCAACTCAGTGTTATTTAATATAGTTGTTTTAACTTTGTAACAGGGAAATGCTTGGAAAGAACGCAACAGAACCAACAAAGAAGAGGTGAGTTTTTGTGATTTTTGGGCATAAATTGGAATAAATGGTATTTTACTTGTAGTTAGCTGAAAGCAGGTGCTGGTTGGGGTGGTGGTTTGGCTTTCTGTAGCCTAGGCATGCTTTCCTATTTCATAAGTATCAACGTAATGTTATTGTGACACACATAAATGAACTTTTTAAAACATAACAGTTTCTGGAGTTCAGAAAGCATATGCTTGTCCCTCCTCAGACAGAGTTCCTGTTCCCAGTATGAACTTTAAGTGCATATGTGCCTGTAGTTCTGTGGTTCAAAAGCATGAATGTTTTTTGAATGCTGCTTTCACCTGCCAGTTGTATACATGGCGCTGCAGGTCATCTGTGGAGGGTCCAAGCCTCGTGTGGCTCTGTGCCAGGAAGCAGCAGGGCCTGGTCTGTACCACTCATTTCATAGAATCATAGAATCATCAAGGCTGGAGGAGACCTCTAAGCTCGTCCAGTCCAATCATTAACCTGTCACCGCAGTAACCCCTAAACCATATCATCCAGGACCAGATCCAGATGCCACTAAAGCACTTGCAGGGATGGTGACTCCACCACCTCCCTGGGCAATATCCCAGTGCCTCACAGGGAAAACATTTCTTGTGACATCCAGTCTGACTCTGCCCTATCTCAGCTCAAGGCCATTCATTCCCTTCCTCTCCCTGAAGCCACGGCAGGACAGACATCCCACACCTCTCTCCAACCCTGTCAGGTATAGGCAAAGAAAAGGTTGGATTATAGGCAAAGTTTCTTCCCCCAGAGGGTATTTGGGCACTGAAACAGGTTCAGGTTGGATATCAGGACAAGGTCCGTCCCCCAGAGGTGTTTGGACACTGAACAGCTCCCCAGGGCAGTGGTCACAGCCCCAAGGCTGACAGAGCTCCAGGAGT